ACAGATATTCAAGGCCTCAAACATAATCTACTTTCCCTGTACTCCTTCCATAGGAAGTCACTAAGGACTAGGTTCCACCAAGGGATGGAACAAACCAAGAAAGAAGACTGGAGATATAGAAGTGACTAACCTAACACAGAAGGGGAATGCCAGGTTGAGGATTATGACAGGAGGTCCCAAGCATAAGGATGATCTAGTGAGCACTCAGGGTAAACCATCAGGCTGAAAAACAGCAGGTGAAGGTGTTCAGAAGACACATTTGATAAAATGTCTGTGTGATTACATTGTAAGTACATTACAAGGATCGGGGAAGATTAGGGATGAGTAAAAACAACAGAGAAAAAAAGCACAGTGGGAGAAGCATCATGCTCTGTTAATGTCTTAGCAACACATTACACAGGTCTCATAATTTGGACAATGAATGTGGATCTATCCCAAACAAACACAGCGGAAAGAAGGCAAATGGAAGCAGGGGTTAGTGGTTAGAGGTTGTTAGAAGTGCAGAGAAAAGAGCAAAATTCTTATGTTCTGGTAGGAAAACCATAGGGCTCCAAACCAAGAATTAAGAAGAGTGAGAAGAAGTGAGATGTTAAAAGAGTGAGATGAAGATGAATACCAAAGGACTCAGTCAACTTAAAGAACGAAAAGTAGATTGTTTTATGATCAAGCCAAGGAGGAGGGAGATTTTGTGAAATCATTGAACTTTACAAAAGTAATTAAAACTATAAAAAGATAGATTATATGGCTGGGCTATGATGGCTTATGCCTGTAATCCTAACTACTCAGCAGACTGAGATCTGAGGATTGAAGTTTGAAGCCAGTCTTGGGAGAAATGTCCATGAGCTTCTTACCTACAACCTAATCAGCAAAAAGAAGCTGGAAGTGGAGGTGTGGCTCAAGTGGTAGAATGACAGAGGAAAAAGCCAAGGGAGAGTGAAAGGCTTTGAATTCAATTCCCAATACTATTTCTCTCTTCCCCTCTTCCTCTCCCGCTCTCTCTCTCTCTTTCACACACACACACATACACAAACATGCATGCACACACATATGCATGTGTGCACACACATGTGATTATATGGCAAGTAAATCTGCTGACACAATTTTGTCAGTAATGTTCAGTAACTATTTCCCGAATATACTGGTATTCAGTACCAGCTATTGGGCTAGAACTTGGGTTCCCAAGATGGCCCAGTGACCCTTTTACACAGTCCATGAAGTCACAGAAAACTACTCTAATGCTACTGGACATCCATATCTAGAAGGTGAGAATTATTTCCAGGAGACACTGATATCTATGTTGGGACTTAGTAAAGAACTGAGCACATATAACCTTCCAGTAGAAAAGAACACAGGATGTGGGCACCCATGGACTCTTCTTTTTAGTGCTGGTCCTAAGGCTTGAACTCAGGAACAGAGCACTGACCCTGAGTGTTTTTGCTGAAAGCTAGTGCTGTACCACTTAAGCCACAACTCCACTCTTGGGTTTTTTTTTTGGGGGGGGGTAGTTTATTGGAGATAGTCTTATAAACTTTCGTGACTTTGAATTGTGATCTCTGCCTCCCAAATTTGTAGGATTACAGGCCTGAGCCATTGGTACCCAGTTTGATCTTCAGACTTTCGTTGTAGAGAATTCTAACACTTGGGGAAAAGTAACTCTCTTAAGAATTCCTACAGTGAGTCAAGAGAATGAGTATATAATTCTGGTTACTTCTTCATTATTCAATGTAGGCATTTAAAAATTTCTAATGTACAGACACTATCACTATCACTCAGTACTCAGCCTTTGGCTTTGCTGATCACCTTTTCTTACTGTAAACCTTACCCTTCCCTTGTGATCCCACAATCCTACTTCTTTCCTGCTTTTCTTTCTACTTCCACAAAGAGACAAACCTCTGGGGACTTCTTCAGCATTTTGGATTTACATAGTGGTCATGGTTATCAGAGAGTTGTACCTTGTGACAGAGTTTTTAGGCAGGTGGAACAAGAATATTATTTTAAATATCAACAATGATCACAACAAAACCAGTGGAGGGCCAGCCATGGTTAAAAGACTGAGAATGACACAAGACTGGTTCAAGTACTTATCTTGACTAAGGTTTATAAGCAGCTTTACTGGCTGCCTTTATTGGTTTTACTGGCCAAACTGAGAAGAGGTAATCAAAATGTCCTCTTTAAACATTATTTATTGTTATGTATTTACTACCTTTCCAGATACAAAAATGTTTCCCAAAGACATATCTGATAATATTCAAGAAAATCTGGAATAGAAATGGGTCATTCTTTTTTTTTTTAATTGTGAAAATACTGTACAGAGGGGTTACAATTACATGGGCAAGGTAATGAGTACATTTCTTATCAAGCATTGTGGCCTCCTCCTTTGTTTCCCCTTCCTATCCCTTCCCATTCCCCCCCCCCATTATCCACCCCCTCAGCCCTGGTCAAAGTTGTAAAGTTCGTTTTTCAACATAACTTGTACATCTCATTGTTGCAATGGGTCCACCTGTATCCCTACTTAAATGATTTGTTTTTCAAACATATAAATTTATTTCAATTATGCTAATTGCTTTAGGACTCTAATCTTATAAAAGCGAGTTGGAATTTATGATTAAGACAAGAGGATTAAGAAAAGAAATATAGTTGGGGTATATTTGATCAACACATCATATGAATGTTTTAAACATTAATTGTACAATTAATCTATGCTAATAAAATTATAAAAATATTTTTCTAACTTTTCAAAAAAGACTTTAAACATTCTAATTCAATTAGCAAATACCATATCACTTGTTCAATGCAGAAAAAAATGTGGTACCTTGTACAAAACTTGAGTTAAAACTCATTCTCTAAGAACTCCATGCAAAACTAAGTCACAAGGGAAATGAGTCAGTAAGCAGTGCCTATAACAATGATGCTTGCTTTGCAATGCCCACATCATTTCTAGAACATGCCACTTTCAAGGTATACTGATACAGAAAGTCTTAGTAAAACCACATTATTTCTAGTAGTTCTTTAGCATTCAAAGCGAGCCAAAGTAGCAAACTTATACAAAGTCATGCTGACCCCCACAACTTGGATGTACTAAAAGCCAGATGCTACTTGCAGATGAAAGTACCTTGAAGTACCTCAGTCCTCTTCCTTCTTCTCAGCTACTTTTGTGAATAATACTCCAAAGCCTAGCTGTCCTTTCAATGTTCTTCTAACTTATGCCATGTTTCTCCATCTCCTTTTCCCCGTAAATTCATCTTCTGTAACTCAAGTGGCTCTTGAAATCCCCTTCTTCCAAGAAGTCCCCATGACTTGTTGGAAGAGTAGTCCTTGAACTCCCTCATTTGCATGTGGGGTTTTTATACCACTACCCACCATTCTCTTAGCCATAAAAGCCATTAAAGGAACCTGCATGTTCCTATGTTGCTAGAGGTGCTTTCCTGGAGCTGTGTCCCCAGTGGAAGGATGGCAGAAAGTATGTTCATCTGGGAAGAAGAAGTGGGAGGTGATGAGGTAAGAAGTCAGGAGAGCCAGAAGCTGTGAGTTCAAACAGAGGTCCTACAGCCTCAGAAGTCACCATCTCTCCATGATCACATCTCATCTGCTAAATGAAGACAGGAGTAGGCCTAGCCTTTGAGGTTGTCCTATGTTGTTGTGAGGCTCAAATGAGGTAAGGTAGTACAAATGGCGAGGCCCCAATGAACAAAATCAGCAGGATACTTAATAAATATTGCCTAACAATGACACAACAAAATATAGGGTAAGGCAGAACTGAAGTATTTATTTTGAGTGTTAAAATTAGACATATAGTTATATAGATAATGAAAATGTTAAAATAAAGATATTCATGGAGAAATGTTAACTAAGTTATGGGGAAGACAAATATTTTATTGGTTGAACATGATGCATCAGATTAAAACAACACAAACATTCAAGATTGCAGTTTTGTAATGTAATGCCACTGAGCTAGGTAAAATGGTTAACACACACGGGGGAGACAATATTATGCATACTGCTTAATGGCTTCTTCAAATACATTTGTAAAAGATTAATGAACTGATGGTGCCAGAGCAACATTCTTCCAGCTGTGCAGCAAGACACTTCAAAGTGTAAGAAGTGGAGAGAAAGTAAGCTGCCAGAGGGGAAGGAGCAACTAGCAGTAGACAGCAGTGCTAGCTGCCCCATGAGCCTAGCTTATTGTTTTAGGCCACACTGAAGACTGTGCTACTTTAGCAGTGCTTGGGAGTGTGAAGCCTCTGGCATCCACACTGTGTCACACGTAACACACAGGTCCTCCTTGGGGAGCTGCAGTATTAGACAACAAATGATACACATCAAGGGCGAGAACAAAAAGCTACAATTGCACTAGGAAAAATGACAGTAAAATCCAGAGCATTAGGTGTCTTAAAAGATACCTAAATGAAGCTTTCAAAATCCTTTCCTATATCGGAAACTGATGAGATTCCATCCTAATAAATGAGATGCTTGAGAAACACTTTCAATCACCATATACCACTTCTATAATATACTCCTTCAAGAAGTCCTTCCTGAAGCTCTCCCCTTGCAGCATTCAGATAAGAGAAAAATCCTACTGGGTTGAATCCAACCAAAAATGGCCAAAAATAACAATGAAAAGATTGGGTAATTCAAATATGATCATTTTGGGTCAAATTAAACATATACCAGCATTGTTTCCTTTGGGTGGTGAAGGGATTAGAAACAGAGTGCTTTATATACCAAATACCTTTAGGGCATTTAAGAAAAGTGAATAGGGCTGGGAAGGTGGCCTAGTGGTAGTGTTCACCTAGCACGCATGAAGCCATAAGTTTGATTCCTCAGTACCACATAAATAGAAAAAGCCAGAAGTGGCGCTGTGGCTCAATCATAGAGTGCTAGCTTTGAGCAAAAAGCTCAGGGACAATGTCCAGGCTCTGAGTTCAAGCTCCAGAACTGGCCA